AATTTTATTGAGATGAAAAAGTAACACTTTTATACTTTTCTTATTATTAGTACAGAATATATATGTTTGCTATATATATGTAGCAAATAAAATTACTATATTTGTTAAAGTTATTTAAATAAATAACTAACAATATATATATGTTTTATTTTACTATAGTATTCACTCTTTGGATAATTATTTCAATTTGTTGTTTAGTAAGCTTCAAGAATATATCAAACATATGAGTTTGACTGATTTTATCTATACAAATTATTATAAACAAATTATATACATTTCTAGCTATTTGTGTATTTTTTTTTAAAGCTTCTTTAGTAATATTAGATCGATGTGCTAATATTTTTTTTATAGACCTTAGCTTTGGTTTTATTCAAATTTATTTTACTAGTTTGTAGTACTTCATTTACTTAACCCTCAAATGTTTTAGCAAATCAATACCAGAATTATATTTTAGTATAGTTTGTTAATGTTATACACTTTTGAGAATATTTTGCTTTATTATTAAGCTGAACTAAACTTAATATTGCATTTTTATTACTTTTCTCTTCACTATTACTAACTCTAGATATTTCTTCACTAAGAGTAATTATCACCATTTTTGAAATAGTTAAAAATAGCAAAATTTACAAAAAAATTTTTTTTATATAAAAACCTGAAAACCTGATTAGTTTAAAACATTAAAACATTATGTGAGTGCATAATTGATTATTGTTCTAAACTAATCAGGTTTTCAGATTTTCATATAAAATTTTTTTTGTAAATCTTGCTATTCTCAACCATTTCGAAAATAGTGATAAATTAGCAAGAATTTTTAAAAAATTTATTTCTTTTTTTAGGTTAGCAGTAGAGCTGCTAAATTCAGTAAATAATGCAGATATAGTAAAATTACTAGAGTTGGATATAGTTCACTCTTATTATAGCAGACCTTATTAAACTGGATCCCTCACTATAACAGTATATTTTACTAGAACCAAAATCTGATCTGATTATTTATTTTCCCTTGCTATTATAGATTTTCATAAGATAATTTTCTATAACAGTTATGAATTAAGTTGTACTATCAAGTATATATACAAAATTTTGGCTATAATAGATTTATAATATGATTAGTTCAATATTAACCAATGAAATTACAAAATTGCTATTAGAAAATGATTGGTTGCATGTATAAATAATGCCAGGTTAGTAAAGCAGGGCTAGAATATAATTAGTATGTTTGACATATGTTGTGTTAATTGCTATAAAACAATAGAGTCTATTGTGGTAGACTAGTAATATAATATAAAAGTTTATTCTGATAATGTAATATATATAATTAAAGAATAAATTTGATCTTACAGATTGAATCTGAAATTTTGATTCTTCTCTTCAAAATTGATCTGGACTAAAATAAAAGAATATCATACCTTGATTATAGAAGGTTGGGAAGTCATTATTAAGGAGTAGTTAGTATATTGGGGAAAAAAACAAAGTTAATTATGAAAGTGAGTAAGCAAATATAAAAAATAAGCTTTAACTAGATTTTGTGTATTTATTTACCTATATTAATTACTGATAATCAATATGTTACAAATTGCATGTATATATGTTTTTAACGTTAAAGATCAAGTTTGGAGACTTGTTCATATATACATTGTAACAGGGTAATATGAACTGGCCATAGCAAAAAAATATGATCCAAACTATGAGATCTAAAATCTTAATGTGTATTGATCGACAAAAAGAAGACACTTAATTAAATGCTAATTCAGGTTTAGTTTGAAGCAAAGCTCTATTAAAGAACAATAGTAAGATAACTTTAATATTCAAATTGTAGAAATTAAAGTCATAGTCATATAAATGAGTATGAATTACTCAAAATTAGACATAATATAAGCACATGAATAAAAATTTATTAGTATTTTATACAAAGTTGGTAACAGACATTACCTGTGGTAAAATTATTCTTGTAAGACTTTTTTCTGTTGAAACAAAAAAAAAAGATGCTCTATATTTCTAAATATATATAGCTTTTTTTTTTTTTAAAAAAAAAATTAAAAAAATTTTTTTTTTAAAATAAAAACTTTTTAAAAACTTTTTAAAAATTATCATTTTTGAAAATATCAGCTACCAGAACTAGTAAAGTACTTGCTCTTGGTAGTAAGCGTAAACATATAGCAATATCAGGCTTAATAAAATATGAAATTTGTCAAAAACTTTCAGGACCTAATCCCCCAATGCAAAAAGAATTAGCACTTGAGTATAACATATCTGAGCAGGCAGTTTCAGATATTTGGCAGGATCAAAATAAGTGGCTTTAACTTGAGGTCAATAGTTATGATGCACAACTAAAAAAAGAACATTCACCAGGGTATCCGATGATTGAAGAGGTTTTAGAAAGGTGGTTACAATATGCATTCGCAAGACAAATGATGTTAACAGATGAGGTTCTCATAGAAAAGGCAAAAAGCATTGCTTCTAATATTGGAGAACAACAGTTTTGTGGTTCAAATAGATGGTTAGCATGATTTAAAGCCCTGCATGGAATAAAAATGTATATAAGAGTTAGTGAAAGTGGTAGTGCATCACCAGAAGCCAAAATTAATGCAGAACAAGAAAGATTGCATGCTATTATTGCACAATATCCATTAGATGATATTTGGAATGCTGATGAGACAGGTATTTTTTGGAAACAGGAGCCAAGAAGAACTCTTGCTACCAACTTACAAAAAGGCCATAAACTCTCTAAAGAATATGTCACATGTCTTGTTGCTTGCAATGCAATAGGTAATCAAAAGTTAAAACTAGCCTTTATTCATAAATATAAAACACTCTGTCTCTTCACAATATCAATTATAATAGACTTCTAGTTTCTTATTTTTGAAATAAAACTTGTTAGATGCAAGTAATATTTAATAAGAATTTTTAATTGTGCCTAGTAATACTCTTATTCTAACTAATATTATTCTACTAAGTACAATTAGAAATTTACTAATCATACCTAGTGAGATTTTACTAGTTAAGATAAAGGTACCAATGGGCATAATTAGAAAACAGTATTTTAATTTAGAATTGTATATACTGAGTTAATAACTAAATTCAAATTAATTTTTTTTATATAGATTTCAATCTGGACAAGAATATTAAAAAATTGGGATACAAGTCTTAGTAAATGTGACAAGAATATTCTTCTTCTTGTTGATGGTACACCAGTACACTGTCTTGAGAAAAATGTTAAACTTAATCATATTTGTATTGAATTTTTACTACAAATGCCACTATGCATATTCAACCTTGTAACCAAGGGATAATTCATTATTTAAATATTTGTTTTTATAAAAAAAAGCTTTATTAATAATAGGATTGAGGCATATAATTTCATTCATGATAAGCCAAATGAAAGCCCACCAGCTTTTACAATCCGTGATGCAATTTATTTTGTAGCTGATGCATGGCAAAATGTAATATCTAATACTATTGTAAACTGTTAGAAGAAGGCTGGCATTCTTTCTATTAATGATAACAATAATATTTTATCTATAAAATTTTAGAGTATCAAGAATGAACAACTTTATGAGTTAGATGATTTGATTGCAGAACTCCCAATTAATAATCCACTTAGTGCTAGTGAGTTTTTAC